CATTTCTCGGAAATGACGAAATTTCCGAGAATCGAGTCACTTCCAGGAAGCGACCTCCTTTCACATCATGTTCGCCTATTAGAAAGTCAGATTTTCGGATTTTCGAAAATTTTTGGCCGAAAATCGACTTTCTAATAGGCGAACATGATATGAAAGGAGGTCGCTTCCTGGAAGTGACTCGATTCTCGGAAATTTCGTCATTTCCGAGAAATGACGAAAATTCCAGGAATTCTCCAGAACTGAAATTTTCGAAGACCCTCTGGCTGAAAATCGACTTTCTAATAGGCGAACATGATATGATAGGAGGTCGCTTCCTGGAAGTGACTCGATTCTTGGAAATTTCGTCATTTCTCGGAAATGACGCGAAAATTCCAGGAATTCTCGAGAACCAAAATTTTCAAATGGCCTTTGGTCAATTCGTGGAATCGACTCGATTCTCGGAAATGACCAAATTCCAGGAATTCTCGAGGACTGAAATTTTCGGAGGCCCATTGGTCAATTCTTGGAATCGCCTCGATTCTTGGAAATTTGGTCATTTCCAAGAAATGACGAAAATTCCAGGAATTCTCGAGGACTTTAGCACCGAACGAGTGTATGCGCGCGATTTTCGAAATTTTCGCCTAATTTTCGTAGTTTTCGCTAGAATTTCGGGATTTTTTCGAATTTTTCGGTGAAAACGCATTCCTGGTGGTTTCTGCCATTGATTTATCGACTTTTGCAACGGAAAATTGTTTAAACAATGGGTTTTTTGCAAAAACAAATGGATTTGGAGAATAAGGGAGCAATAAATAGACTGTGAAATGCTGTAAAACAATACTGGTATATTGTAACCTTTTGTAATATACATTTTAAACAATAATTTTACAATAAATGTCTGATTTATTCATAAACAATTGCATTTCTTCGTGTTTCCAGATGTTGAAGTCCTTTCCTTGATTTCTACGGTGTCCTCTACGGTTTATCTGTAATTCATACGAAAAGAACATTAATTTTTCTAATTGTTAACAAAAATTATAAACAATTTCATACTTATCCACGGAATGCAATGATTAATTCAATGCTAAAATATTATATTAAGCTGTTTCATTAAGTTAAAGCATACAATAATTTTGTTTAACACTTCTAATAGTTACAAACTACGTACAATAAATAATTGATTTTTTCATAAACGATAAGTTTTTTGCAATAGGAAATGAATTATTCCTGTAAAGGAGAAGTAAATAGACTGTGAAATGCTGTAAAACAATACTGATATATTGTAACCTTTTGTAATATACATTTTGTACAATAATTTTGTAGTAAATAATTGTTTTTTTCATATATAACTGCATGTCTTCATTTTTGCTGATGTTTAAACCCATTCCGAGACTTCTGTACTGTCCTGGGAGGTCCATCTGTAATTCATACAAAAAGAACATTAATTTTTCTAATTGTTAATAAATATTATAAACAATTTCTGACTAATCTACTGAGTACAACGGTTAATTCAATGCAAAAGTAGTATATTAAGCTGTTTTATTTAGTTAAAGCACACAACAATTTTGCTTAATACTTCTAATAGTTATAAACTACCAACTAAAATTGTTATTTAACAAGAAACGCCAATTATTCTGTAATTAAAGTACTTGAAAACGTGCCAGGGACTGCATTTCACTATCTAAATGATTACTAATGTTAAAACAATTAAAAATTTATTATAAGTATCAATTCTAATCTGCTTAGTACATGCAGTTATGCTCTAATTTACAATAAATATTATTCAAAGCGAAAAATTCAACGAATTCTCATTATTCTGTAATAAAATATACGAGAACTTAATTTTTCATAAGTAAATGATTTATCCCATGTATTCTACTGCTTTCGAGAGATCGTCAAAGTTCTATCCACGCAATCCAACATACATATGTAAGTATCTTTACATGCGAATTAAACAAACGAGAATGTTTTACATCTGTCAACTTTACCATCTTTCACGGTTGGATTGCATATAATTCCTAAACTCACTGCTTCATATCGTAGAGGGCATAACGAAACCTCTGATTTTTTACACGATCGGTATTTCAGAACGTTGGGCACAAAGATACGTTACACGTTATGTCTATCCTGTATCTCGTCTGTGCCAACGCAAACGAACAGCCACCGTTTTCGTGCCTCGAAAATCGACACGTAATTCATTTGTTACAGACTACTTACGCGAGACTCGTTCGCCGTTTATTTTTTATAAAGGAGTAAGTGCGACAGCCTTATTCTAACACTATTGGCTGATTAACAGCGAGACGTCACAACTTCTCCTACTTTTCCCACTTCTAGACCAAAGCCCGCTTGAAGTCTAAAGTTCCGTTGTTGAGCAATGCATCCGCGGTAGCAGCTTCAGTTTTCCCGCGAAAATTGCTGCAACAGTAAGTACGTAATTCCAAAGCTGGATTCAGAATTCGGTAGTGCATGAACGTCGTAGCTTTTACTTGTGAATATTTTATATTCTAACTTATATGAAAGTGAACTAATAAGAAAAAGTAAATCATTCTGCGTACTGAAAAATGGAATTGTGTGATATATCGGACAATTGATGCATTGAGATCCTTGGAAATTCAGTTACGAAGTATTACGTCGTGTCTGCGAACGGTAAGTCGTATGATTTTTGTTCCTTCAGCTTTTTTTTTAGTTAATAATAAATAATCGCAGTGTTTAAAATGATTACCGTGCATAACTATAACGTTTATTGTGGCTACTAAATGTCTTTTCTGTATTAAAATTATTTGCATTAAATTACCCAGCATGCACCATGCTTTCCCGCGATTTTTGAAGTTAGTGGTGCGAATTATGAAGCGCCCATTGTGGCTGCTCGCGATTGTTTAAATAAAAAATCGTTTTCTCATATAAAGAACTATTGTCTTCTTCTTTCTTTAACGATAGCTATTAGAGGAACACAAAGAAGCTTTATCACACAACATCTGTTTAAATATCGAAATGGAAGCGTCCATTATCGCTACGTCTAACGTGACCAATATTGTCGAGTGCATATTAGAATTGGTATAGATCATTTTTATTAAACGATCGTTTAATAAGGAAAGTGTAGCTTACTTTGATGCTTTTGTAATTCTTTTTGGTAGGTGTCCAATTCTTTAAATGCTAATGCTACGTCAATCGCAATACGAATTCACGGGGTGGAACGTAAAATTCAAGTGATAGACAACGGCGTAGGTATTCATAGGAAACATTTAGAAATAATCGCAGAATACAATGGTCAAAGTTTTTTGAATTGTTGGAATATGCAAGATATTTGTAATCAGAGAAAGCAGACACTTATAAATATTCGTAAATTGTCTGATGCTATGTTAATTACGTCTCGATACTATAATTCATCGAAAACGTATCTAAAGGTGGAGAATAATTAACGAATTATTTATTGCAAATATTACTTCGCATCAATTGATAGAACGGTTGTGCTTGTAGGTTTTCAAAATATGTCATGATACAAATATTGTTAAAATTGAAAGGAGACCCTCACAGGGTACTACAGTTAGCATTTATGGATTACATGAATTATCATTAAAAAAATGGGACATACCTACCATGTATTATTTAGTTGCAAATATTGCCATAGTGAATCCACAAGTAAATGAATGCTCTCATTAATGTATTGTTATATTCTTTTGTTCAAAGTGAAAATGTTGTACAAATATATTTGTAGGTTTCATTTTCTATCAGAGATGATCATAAAAAAGAAGTTATCATGATAATTACTAAACCACATGATCCAATAAATATTTTCAAATTGTTGTACAATAGAGAAGTACTGCTTCGTGAAATATGGTGTATAAAATGTACAAGAAAATCTGATATTAAGTTCTGTGCTTATATCGGATTAGCTGATGTTAATTTTGCAGCTATGCAAAATATGTTTTTAAATAACAAACCTGTTCATTGTCCTTTGATTCTGCAAGTAGTTTCAGCTACATTTATGAACTCCTTACAACTGTTTAAAAAGATTCAATATGAACAGTTTCTAAAGAGAGACAATGTTTTTATTTTACTGTACATTTGGTGTACAGAATATATCTTTACAATAGAAAATGGGAAAAGAACTTTGATTCTACCTAATGTTCAAAGTTTATTACAAAATATTAAAAGCAAGATACTGAATATTTTTACAAAGAACAATATGCCTTTGTCTATCTGTGATTCAAAGTGTAGTAGAACACAGAACAATTTGCTGTATAATTACACAAAATATTTGAATAATGCTTTTCAAAGAAATCATACATTGCATACATTCAGTCATATCATTGAAAAAAAGATCACAGAATTAAAAGTTCCACACATTCACAAAAGTATAATTATTAAAGAGAACAATATAGAAGAAGGATTAAAAAATAATGTAACACATTTTGCAGCAAATATCACTCAATTATTCACACCTGTTTCACAAATTAACAAAGAGACCATTATATTGACTCTTTCTGAGTGGTCCAACTGGTCTTACAGAAATACCTCTAACATGAAACAATTTAGAAACAAATCCTTGACATTTTACAAACACTTTGACTTCTTGCCAAAGAAATTACATAAACTATTACGTGGTAATACCAAGTTAACAAAAACTGGTATTCTAAATGAATGCATTGGAAGTGCATTTTCAAGAAAATTGAAATCTGGTCTCCATAGTAAATACATTTGCTCCCATCAAAACAAAAAATAAATAAATAATCAAATCAAGTATATACTATACTTCCTCCTTAGTTCCAGATATTTTGCCTCATCAAGAAATTGATGTCCGTTCGTGTAAAACTGTTAGGCAATTCCGCGAATTTAAATTGAACAAAGAACACTTAAAATTTATAAGAGTAGGTAAAACTATAATGATAATTACTGTAATAAAAATTGTAGCAATTCTTATCTTTATAGATACTAGGTCAAATGAACAATGAAATGATAGCAGGATTGATAATTAAGGATGATATAAGAATGTTATTAATAATGGATCAACATGCAATTCATGAAAGGATAAGATATGAACATTTGCTTTATAGTAAAATATTTCCAATGAATCTATACAAAACAAAATTAAAGTAAATGTATATACATATATATATTGGTACTGATTATGGAATTCATTTTTAGAATACAAGTCACAAATAAGAAACCAACTGTTCTCTATTAAATTAAAAGATCCTATCACTATAGAATTATCCGTAGATAGTTGTAATCTGCTCCTATCCAATAAAGTGGCACTAAAAAAATATGGTGTAACTTTCAATGTGATAAATAATGATACTGCAATAGTAAGTGCAATACCAGAATGTTTAAAAAAGAACAAATACCACTATGATGAAATAAAATTAAAGATAAATGTAGCGAATCTTTTGACTGAATTGCTACAAAGTTTTACAATTTATGGAAGCTATCAAAGCAATAATCTGCCACTTACCATTCTCAATGCAATTGCAATGGAAGCTTGCCACGGTATGTTCATTAATTAAACACAAAAAGCTTATATTTTTCAATGGAAAGTATTATTAATGTAACAATCTCATATATTTGTACATGGTAATTCACTGTCATCTAACATAAGAATATTTTAGGAGCTATAAAATTTGGTGATCCACTGACATTAAAAGATTGTAAATGGCTCTTGAAATTATTAAGCCAGACAAAAATTCCTACTCAATGTGCTCATGGCAGACCATCCATAGTGCCTTTATTAGAACTAACAGATTCGGAAAAACGGTATAAAAAGATCGTCCAGGTAGCCAACACATATTTTATAAAACAAAAATACTTATTATTTATAAATTCATTTGCTTAAAAGAATTCAGATCTTGCTCTTGTATATATTTATTCAAATCATGCAACCAACCATCTCAGAAGAATTGCACAAGCTGTTAATAATTGTGTTAGAGAATTTCGATCTCGTTTAAAATTAAATGTCAGGATAGCCTGAGATCAAGATATCCTTTCCAAAGTAGTTCACTCTGCTCACATAGATCATGAACTCGATTCCACCCATGGAAACTGGACAGACGTTATTGGGACGAGCGAAGAAACACATGGTATATAACGCGAACTCCACTTCTGGCGATGTACCGACAAAAACGGTCGTAACAGGTTGCACTATTCCATCCAACGTCAAGCGTACTTTCACAACTGCTGCTTTCTGCAAAGTAGAACGCAATCATCGTTAGCAACGCAAATTATCTCATTTAATCGTTGATCTATGCCGATTACTGTTACTCACATCACCCAGCTTGACCTCCTTGATGTAGCCAAGATAATTGAGCTTCTTCTCGGCCTCTTGCTTCGCGAAATAGATCCAATTGTGCAGTCCAATTATATCAGAATCGAATTTCTCAGCCAGGAACACTGTTTCAAACCCGGAACTAGAAGCGTCCCCATCGATACGCTTGAACTGAGAGAACCATATACGTTTCATGGTATCCTTGAACTCGTATTTATCATCCTCGATGAAACCTTTGTCAGCGAGGAACTTCATGGTCGCCTTCATCACGTCTGTATCTAGAATCTTGTCGAGAAGAGCCGATTCCTCCTCGCGTTCCTCAGACGTGACCGTCTCCTTCGTCTTCACGTCGAATTCATAGTTATCGTGTAGAGCCAATACTGCTTTCACCGTTGGAATCTCGTAAGCCTCGTCTTGTACACTCAGCAATCTAAAATTTATACGATTATAATTCACGATCTGCTCTTCTAAGATCTCAACATATCCAAGAAGACAAT